AGTTGAAGGCCGGGAGGCCCTTGCTTCTAATCTATTATAGTTGAAGGCCGGGAGGCCCTTGCTTCTAATCTATTATAGTTGAAGGCCAGGAGGCCCTTGCTGCTCATCTATTATAGTTGAAGGACGGGATGCCCTTGCTTCTGATCTATATCCCCAGGTCTGTGACTGTGACTTTGTTTCTCCTGCTGCCAGGCCCTCACCGGCACCCGGGGCGGGGCTGGACTCCAAGCATCTGCAAGCCTTTAGGTAATGCCAGGCGATCTACAACAGAAGCCATACAAGTGCCCCTTGGACTCATACACAGGGTTCTGGAGGCTAGAAAGGGAAGCTGGGCCCACACACTGTTCTTTCTTTAGGGACTTCCCAAACAGTCCCTGAAATGCCCACTGAAACTGGTCCAGGATTTCATGTTTGTTGCCAAGGCAACTGCTAGTGAAATCTATGAGTCCAAAAAGACACTAATTAATGAGTGGGTTTAAAACTTGGAAAATTTTACCAAATCCAGAAGTGACAGACACTCCCGTAAAGCTGTTACGCATACAAATTTGCAGAAGAAAAAGCCACGTTCTAGCAGACTAAAGCCAGGCTAGCACAGGGCGGCTCCGAGGAAGACAGTGGCAGATGAAAGGGAAGGGCTGGCTGAGGTCCTGGGCGCAGGAGCCGGGGCCAGGAGTGAGCATGGCTAATGGGCCCCGTCCGTCTCCAGTCCCTCCACATGACCTGCTCTGTCCAGCCAAGCCTACGGACTCACCTTGCATCTTAGCAGCTGCGATAACGTCACCAGCCGAGATACTGGACACGTTGACCAGGTAGATTGGACAGTGAGTCTAAACACAAGAAACAGTGGGAAGTAGGGAGGGTTGATCCATAAACTTCACGAGCATCAGAACAACCCTAGTAAAGTCAGCTCTGGCCCCCGCGCCTCCCCCTGCGCCACTCAACCCCACCCTCAAGGTGACCGTCCTTAAGCGGGGAATGCAGGGCTGGCAGTCAAGGTGAGGTTGCAGGAACTGCATGATAGGGGGAGGCAGAGAATAGCCTCCAGCACCAGAGCCCACCGGGAAGCCCAGCCTGTGAAGTTCAAGACCGTCAAGTCTGAACCTCTCATTTTCTCCCATCTGACAACCATGACTGTGATTTAAAAGAGGGGAACGAACTCTTTTTCCAATTTAATTTCCTGTTTATAAACGTGATGGCCTAGAGTTAGTCGTGTATTCTGTATCTAAAATTACGATGCCTGCTGTCTGAAGGCTGCTTATCAGTAGACAGAATGCACCCTGGAGATGAACAAAATACAAGGGGGTTAGGGTTCAGAGTCTAGGCAAGAGAAGGCTGATCTTGCAAACGGACACCTGGACTGTAATATTAGTTTAGCTTTTTTTCTACTAAGCTGTGCAACCACGGTCCCTGGCTTAACTCCTCTGAGCATACGCTTCAGAGGAAAGGCAAGAAACTGCCTTTTTGTTGTTCACGTCTTTCCTTATTCTGGGGTAAGTTCCATCAGGAAGTAATTGATAAAATAACTATTGTCATGACAATAAAACAACGTCCTTGTCCAGCGGCCAGAGCTCTAACATGCAATTGGGAAATTCTGTTTCCCCAGAAGTTATTCTGATTCTGTTTGCTTATCACATTAGGAAGATGTAGAGTGTAGGAGCTGGACTGAATTTACATGTGAGCAATGAACTGAGCTTCAGCAGGCTCGGCGAGGTGGAATGGAAAGCTGCTGGTGAGAAGGGTGAATGCAAGGACGGTGGGCATGACAGCGCTCAGTCAGCAGTTTTGGGGTCCTGTGGGCCAGACGTGGTGCTGGCACCCAGAGCAGAATGGGGCTGCACTGTAGAGGTTGTTTTCTTTTCTTTTCTTTT